ATTTATTTTTTTCTAGGAGTTGAGATTGATTTGCACCTGATTCACTCTTGCTTGGTAATGAGCGTTGTGACCAGGTTCAGTTTGGTATAAAGTGTGGACAGAGATGAGCAGAGCGTGCACAGACGGAGGGTGAGGTGGTCTTAAGGTGACGCTCTGTAACCAGTAGTTACCGAGTGTCCGTGCGAATAGTCAGGAACAGGGATGGCTTCTTAGCGTTTCCTGCACGAGCATCCACCCATTTCCTTCATATCATGCGTGAAGGAAAATAAGACTTTCAGGCTGTAGGGATTTTGTTTATTAAACTTAATTCAGATTTATTCATATTCAAGGGGAATGTTGTATTTAAAGGTTGCTTTAAAATGGCATAGAGATTATAATGGAAAATAAGCTATTTATGTTTTTAAGAAGGGCACACCCATGAATTTGTCAGAAAACAATCATGCTTTTTAATTATATGCCATTTTATCTGTTATGTGTGAGCCTTATTGTATATTAAATGTGGAAATTCGTTAAAGGCACATATCGATAAGAGTTTTATTTTAATAAGGTCATATATTTTACTATATCCAAACAACCTTCATTTCTGAATGGAACACAGTTCTATGTAGGTCACTGGGTGCTGCGTACTGGCTGTCACAGCTGGGGGGGAAATGGGAATTAATGGCCGTCTAGTGGAATTTCGTGCAGAACATTACTATTTGTTACACACTGTTGGGGTCCAGCCCCAGCAGGTCCAGGGGTTCCCAAAGGTGGGCGGAGTCGGTGAAGACTATCCACCCTCTTTTAATCCTGTCAATTTCTATTCCAAAGGTTAGGGCGTTTCTTATCTCCATTCCAGGGAGTAAAGATTATGTCGCTTAAGTGTGATTGTTTGTAGTTAAAGTGATTAACTACCCGCCTGGCAAGTAGTTAAGGGGTTTTATTCCCTCCCTGATTTCAGGGAAAAATCCCCACCTGGGGAAACAACCTTTCTCAGAGAGGTGACCTTGGTTAAAACACATAGCGCCAAGAAGGGGAGCAAACATATTAAGAACAGTATGCCCTATACGCCAGGTCCCTTGAATCATATGCTGTGCAGATGTTTCTTCCCTGCAGCGACTGTGTCAAGCAGCAAGGATGGACCGGCTCCTGGCAAATTTCCCTTTTTATTTTTTAAATGATAACGCATGTAAATCAGCGGCCACCTCTCGGATTGGGTTGTTTAAGACTCGGAAGAAGACTGACAAGCAATGATAGTGATCATAGCTATGAACAGGGTGGATGGATGCACAAGAAGCCTTGTTCCTGTAGGAGGTTGCTGGCCTCTTCAGTCCAGGGATTTCAGCTGTCCTCAAGTCGGGGGTTTGGTTGTCCTTGTGATCTGGCTAGTGGGTGGCGTCATTGGCGACGGGCTTCCCGAAGCATCAGCGCACTGAAGGGCTGGATCATGGGTCCATCAGGGCCCTGCTTGATGGTGGTGTCATTGTCCAGGAAGGAGTCAGCTGTGCCCTCTGGGTCGCCGATCTGGACGATTCCAGGGAGGAGGAGGAGGCAGAGATGGAGGGTAGTAGAGAGAAAAAGAAGAGAAAGCAAAAGAACTACAAGGCATGGAAGTGTTTAGAAAAAAGAGGGAGAAGAAAGGGAAGAAGGCAGCATCCTGACACAGCCCTTACGCCTTTGGGGACCCCTGGACCTGCTGGGGTTGGACCCCAACAACACAGCTCGACAGTAGTTCAAGGTGGCACCTCCAATTAAGTGCCTCTTCACTAGGAAAATGAAAAGGCTGAGGCTGAAGAAACACCTAAATGGTAGATGACAGTCTGCCACCAACACGCGGGAGCGTTTTAGACATCATCTAACCC